GCTCCTCTTGATCACCAAGCATCGACATTGCCCTGATATGCTGTCTTTTCTTTATTGACGCTATGCATTTTACAAGATTCCTGTAGAATTAAAAAAATACATATATGTGAAAAAGCTGTGTTTTTTTTAAAAACTGTTTAAAATGCCTGAAGTTTGACAATTAGATGCTTGACTTTGGTCTTCATAAATATATTTGACCAATAGCCTTCTAGTCCAGTGATTCCCAACCATGAGTGCATGAGGGGCTTCCAATGGAATATGGAACGCATATGGACATAAGTGTACCACTGCTGTAAGGCTTGCATGATAACAACACTAGGTGGCAGCAACTCATACAGTGGTTTTTCGAGCTTTTGTTGTTTCCGAACCAGAACTATAGAGAAAAAAAACTTTCAATTATAGAAATCAATCACGAGTTACTAAATTGTTGGCTTTGGACAATTTAGCAACTTTTAAAATCTGCCTGAACTCTCGCACCTTCTCTCTCTACAATGATGCTTTTCTCAATCTCAATCCATCAAGCCCAACTAAGTACAGATAAACTCATTTCTGGAATAATAGTACCATCAACATACTTTCTTCTGTCTTACCCTTCACCATAAGGGATCCTTGTAGGTGGCCGTTTTTTGTTCAGTACCCACTGATCACACAACAGACTTTTGGGATCTGAGAGCAAAAAAAAAAAAAAAAAAACATAGAATGAATATGGGCTCTGAATATAAACAATTACATTCTATGTAATTGCTTTACAAAAAATCTAACACTTTCACATACTGTAAAAAAAAAAGGCCAACACAGATCTGTGATTTTACACCAGGATTCAACGTTCTCACCGCTTGGACGTTTTTTTTTCAACGGTGTCTTCATGTTCTTCGCTTTCTCAATGAGATCCATGCAGTCCACGCACATTGTCCCTGTGGTGATGGGATATGGGGAGGAAGGACCTGAAACTAAGCTCCAGTTGTCAGGGTCAGAATCGACACCCCCGTTTCCTGATCCATTGTCGGCCACGTCAAACCATTCGTCTTCGTCGTTCTCCGACAGCCACTGCGCATCTTCCATGTCGTAGACGATGCTCGTAGGATTGCACTCACTTTCCTCATCTGATATGAGAAAACTTTCTGCAGCCTGTGAAGCCCTTCCTTTCCCAGCTTTTGTTCTCACACTGGCTACACCTGGCTTTGGGAGCCTTATTGTATGTTGGTGAATGAGGTGTCTTTTCCATTTTAATGACCTTGAACAAAGCGTAGCAAAGACATTGTTAGTGACTGAGTGAAGGCAGCAAAGTGACTTCCCTTCTGACAGAATGATGTCTGCTTGAGCTATACCTGAAAGACACCGACTTATTGACGAAATCCAAACAATCAGTCTCTAACCTGCTGTTTGCTGTATTTCCAAACATCTGTGAATAAAATCAAAGAAATAATAATAAAAAAAAAAAAACAGAAATAACAATGCTAAATAACCATCAGTAACCAAGTGCCTGGTGTCATAGAAATGAAAACACTGACATTTAAAGGGCTAAAACCAAACAACAAGTGCCTGGTGTCATAGAAATGAAAACTCTGACATTTAAAGAAAAACCAAACCAAACATTTCAATTTATAAAACATCTTAAGTAGAAACTGTATATGGAAGTAATAACGTTCGACATTAAAAACACAAGTTGCCTTTTATTTGATATTGGCATACTAAAACAAACCCGAGGGTGCCTCTCTGACGTCACTTAAGCAAAATCTTATGACAATACTGTAGTACTGCGTCATTTTACGTACAGCCTGTGATTCTGACGTCGTCAACGTGCATGAACTGATTTATCGTGTTAGCATTTAAGCCACTGTTTTCGATAGCTAAGTGACCGCTTAATAACACCTGTGCGGTAGAGAAAGAATTACTCAGCGCTGTGTTTAAAGTTGCTTACATTTCACTTGACCTTGAATGCTTAGCTCTTGGGGGTACTGTAGCACTGCAACTTGAAGCAAATATTGTTGTATAAATATAACTTTTTATTAGTCTGTCCAGCGTGTTGATAGCAATAGCTGCTCAGTGACAGTAACAAACATCCGCCAAGAACTGGAACTTTTCTTCGTCTTCTTCCGCTCTGTGCAATAATGGCAATTGTACGCCATCTGCTGGATAAATATAAGATCGACGATAAAGACATTCTTAACGGTGGGAAGCTTTTGTTTGTTTCTTTTAGTATTAGCTGGTCTGCCATTTGTCGTTTTCTGTGTTTTGCATCTTAATGTTACGTTATGTGACATCTTGTTATAATTCTGTTCTATATTTCTTATTTGAATTACGTGTAAACCAATATTACCAGGTCTACGACAATTACTGTGAAGTTGTGATCAGATTTTTTTTTTTTGTGAATCCTGAATGCAATCTTTTGCCATGTGACTTGTTTCCAGACAATTCCGTGAGACCGAGGTGACTTTGTTTCAGAACAACTGGAACGTTTGGCAGAATGACAGCTGCGCCTGGCGCTTTAGATGCAAGATGACAAAAAAAAAAAAAAAATAGTGCCGTTTACAATCAATGTTTGAATTCATTACATTAGTTTCACTCACATTGTAAATCAAGTGAGGAATAGCCCAATTATATCGCTATATATAGGGCATATTGTTTCAACGATGCACTATTTAGTTAAAAAAACGCACTTTTTACCTACGAGTGTTTATTAAGGCACTGAATCCTGATTTTGATTTTTAACGTCGACTAATCAGCTAGTACGGTTGAATTTTGAGTAATTTAATAACGTTATCACAATGACAGTGGAGAATTCTTTTTGAGTAATTTAATAACGTTATCACATTGACAGTGGAGAATTCTGTTGTTCGACAGAATTTTAGAGACTGACGAGATGCGTGATGAGTGGAGGAAAAGTGTTCTGGTGCAAATTTATAAGAAGGGTGATGCGCAGAGTTGTAGCAACTACAGAGGGATAAAGTTGATGAGCCATACAATGAAGATTTCGGAAAGAGTAGTTGAAGCTAGGTTGAGGCAGGAAGTGGAGATTTGTGAACAACAGTAAAGTGCAAAGTGAAAAGTGCAATGCAACAGGAAACAGTGAATGTATCAATTATTGCTTTGTTTGACCATCAAGTCATTAAACAAGCAAACTGATGTCTCTCAAGAAACAGCCTTATGTTTAATGTTACTTTTAAAGACACGACCAAGTGAAGACACAGAGTCAAAAGTCTTAACTGTCTCTTGGAAATTTATTTATCACAATACTGTGTTGTACTTTCTTCTGGACGTCAACTTTTCAACCGAGATTTGACAATTTAATATTCCCGAAAACAACATACAGTGTTGTCAGTAATGGAAACTCTTCAGCCTGGTTTCAGAGAACAACTACAGAAATTAATGTTCACCCTTCTTTGGTTGCAAGAATGTGTACTCCACGGCAAGGCGAACAGCAAAAGCAGCAAAGCCCCACTTGAATCCCTTAAACAGTATCATCGGCACTGTCGCAAAACGGGAAAATTGACCCGAAAACCTCCACGCCTCATTCCTGTATAGAGAAAGGAGGGTCAAGAAATACAGATAAAAGCCGATGTCCATAATTCAGCCAAAAAAAAATACTGACCGTAACCATGGGTCCTTCAAGTTATTGGCTTTTAACCTCCTGTGCGTAAGCTCCAACGGTGTTCCATCAATTTTCCACTGACGCCAGTCTGGCAGTGCTATTTTACTATGGCCGTGGTCACCTCCCATACTAACAAAAAAAAGGGGGGGGGGCGGGGGGTAAAGATGGACAAATTGTTTGGACTACTACAACTGACACTAATCTATCTATTGCTACTAACCTACTAATCTGCTAACATCAACTGTTCATGTTTTCATATTTTGATGGTGTGCTGCTACACCTGTTTGTATATTATTTTATATATTATTTTATCTATTCGTGTTATTCCTGTTGTTATGGTGCTGTAATATTGCTGGAGCCTTCATTTCATTGGCTGGCTTCATTCCCTTACATCTTGGACTTATATAACAATAACGGGCGCGACACCAAAGAATTAACCACATAAAAATGACCAAGACAAAAAAAGAGCACTAGGTTTGGTTTTCCGTGTCCATTTATAGCTTAGTATTTTATAAAACATTTATTTTTCCGACTATCAGTCACCAGTTACTCTGACCGAGGAAGAAAAAAAATTGCTAATAACGCATTTAATGGGCCTTCTATAAAGCTTGAACGTACATGTTCAGAATTGTATTACACTTTTTCTTGCATAATGTCACGTCAATTACACAGTAAACACTGCGGCTGATTAAACGCAGTTTACTGTTAGCATTACACTCGCTAGCGACATGTATATAAAACCGTTTACGGCGATACAGCAAGTCATTTTAAGAATTTTAATAGTGTACTGGAATGTGTTGTTCTGCAGACTTACACTAAGATAAAATCTTTAAAAACAGAATAGAACAGAACAGAACAATTTGAATAGAATAAACCGTACCTGGCAGGTTTATTTGTGACCTCTGCAACAGCAACAGAAATGGCGACTGAAGGCGGCGACAGTTTACGGCTAATCTACGGCAATTCGTTTGGGACATAATACCCACGGTTGACCACCCGGTAGAGGGAAGTGTCAATACTTGTTTGGAAATATATTATTTCTCTATGTTATTATTTGATAACGTTCTCCATCGTATAACATGCCGTTCATGAAATTAATCTTTGAATATATATACAGAAAGTCTGAATATATATGCAGAAAATCCGCATTCGTTCTCCATTGTGCTGACGATCATTACTTACGTCTTCCAGAAAGGAAAAGAGGAACAGTAATGCAAAGAGTGATTTATGTTAACTTTTATTTGATGATAATTTGTTTGATTTTTGTTTCTAAGACGGAGGTTCATAAGAACAAGGTCAAGCAGCAGACACTGGGGACAACAAAGCTACAGGCTGGCAGAAGTGATGATGTAAAAGGTTATCCTTGAAAAAAAAAAACTTCCTTCCTTCTGCTCTGACAATGTTCTTTTTCATTAACATTTATTTGTACAGACATATTTGCAATGCAAATATATAGGTTTACATATCTATTATTAACATACAATTCTAACAAATCAAACGATATTCCCCTAAAATTAAAGGCTGTTCCTAAATATGAGGCCATCTTAGGAACAACATATTGCAACATATTTTTTAACATTAACATTAACATGTTTTTTAACATTAATATGAAATATTAACGATATTCCCCTAAAATTAAAGGCTGATCCTAAATATGAGGCCATCTTAGGAGTTTGCAACATATTTTTTTAACATTAATATGAAATATCGTAGTAGACTTTTTGTGATAAAATATTCACAGTCATGATCACGGTAAAATTCGCAACTGTGTGGCAGATGAAGAGTCACTGAATATATCAACATTTGGAAGTTTGTGCTCATAACAAATGACATGACAAACACGAAACAACTTCACAATCCACAAACTGATCATATATTGCTTTTTAGTTTCAGCAGCTTCTTCACACACTCCAGGTTTTCTCCACTTGGAGCTTCAGGCCATGCACTGTGTTCTGCACAAACAAGAAGTTATGACATTTTATTGGTAAAACAGACAGTTACATTAGATAGATAGATAGATAGATGGATGGATGGATGGATGGATGGATGGATAGATAGATGGATGGATGGATGGATGGATAGATAGATAGATAGATAGATAGATGGATGGTTAGGTAGATACAGTAGATAGATAGACATTTCAACACAAAAGTAGATAGTTGATAATGACAGCCTTTGTTTTTAAAATTATATTAGATTCAATTGGTTGTATCAGTTACCGTAATAAACCTCCCCCTTTTAATCAAGTCCTTGTTCTAACATATGGCGTACATGTCCAACCAAAATGAGTTTGACACCCATGGCCTAGATATTACCTCAAACCAAATCGACTAGTTATTTAATTCTAATTTTAGAAAGCCTAAAAAAAATTAATGTACGGCGTACATGTCCAACCAAAATGAGTTTCACACCCATGGCCTAGATATTACTTCAAACCAAATCGACCAGTTATTTAATTCTAATTTTAGAAGGCCTAACAAAATTAATGTATGTGTCATAGGTCGCCACAAACCTGGTATTTGCCACATTGAGTGGTACAGACTCTGTCCGGCATCAACCTTCAGTGTTGCTCCAGAGATAAAGGAAGCAGTAGGAGAGAGCAGGAAACACACTGCCGATGAAATCTGGTTATGAAAAAAAAACCAAAAAAAAAACATTTCAATCATCTTAATGTTTTAACTAATTATCCCAGGTCTTTCCGTGATAACGTTTTGAAACAAACATCAGTATCAAACAGAGTGCTTAGCTAGCATTATGCTAACAAATGAACATCATTTAACCATGGAGCTAACTTTAGATTGTCTGTGGTTTTTTTTTTTTTAAATTAACATGGAGTTCACAAATATTGCTAAGACGGTGACCTTTCATAACAAGAAGCCTCCAGTCACTAGGTGGCAGCAACTCATACAGTGGTTTGTAAAGATAAAAATATACATTATCAGGTTCTCAAGTGTTTCAATATGTAGGTCGATGGGGTGGGGGTGTGTGAAAACATTTCTCTCTCAGGCTGCCCCCAGCAGGCGCCAAGCACGTAGTTTCTTCTGGAAATCGAACCCAGGACTCTTTGCTTCCGAGGCCAGCGTGCTAACCGCTACACTATTGCACCGACAACAACCAATTCACAAATACATTCAAACCTCCTCAGGTAGTCCCAGCCTCTTTGCGGGTATATTTGGAATGGACATCTTAAAAAGCTTTTCGCCAAACTCTTTGTAGTTCTCCATTGCAGTTTGTGAGAATATTGTACCCTGAAAACAGACAAACGCACAAGCTTCAATCTTTCATATGTATTTAAGAATGTGCCGGAACTTTCTTAAATCGTCATCTGGTCGTACAGGTGCAACAGCGTTCACTCGGATTCCTGCAGATGCCCACTCGATGGCCAGAGTTTTTGTTAAGTTTTCCACAGCTGCCCTGGCTGCACCTGTATGTCTGACAGTGAGAGTGATAGAGTCATGACGTTTACATCCAGGACAAATCTGACTTTTTTTTTTTTTTCTCTAGACAGATGTCAGGTGTTAAAAGATAGTACGTCTCACTTACGCCATGCCTGGGAATCCGTTCCACATGTTGGCGATGATGTTGACAATCACACCTCCGTGCTCTTTCATCCACGCAGTAAAAACTGTGTAAAGAACACAGTTAAAGTAAAGACCATACCCACATTCAAAGTTACTTACCAAAATAAACAGACTAAAAAGGTAGATAGGTAGATAGATAGATAGATAGTGTTTTTTTTTGTATTTACTTATAAATGCATTTTCTGTTTGTTGTTGTCATGTGGAAGGAATGCAAAAAAGGAAAAAAAAAGGAACTATCTGCTCACCCTCTTTACAGCAGTGAAATGTTCCATTAAGGTTGGTGTCTACCACAGCTTTCCAGCCCTTGTAGGTCATGTGCTCCACTGGGCTGCTGAACTGACCTCCTCCATTATTCACCAAAAAGTCTATTCTGCCAAACTCCTTGAGCACAGAAGACACAAGGTCCTTCACCTGCACCACAAAGAGACACGACTTGAACAAACATATCTTTCAGCTGCTAAAACAAGCAATTTTTTTTGTAGTCTTGGTTTGTTTTAATGAAATATGAATATGCTAACTTCAGTTTCATTGCGAATATTACAGGGCAGCGGAATGACACGGGCAGAGTTGGATGGAGACATTTTACTCCTCATCTCCTGCGCTGCTGCCACCAGTCTCTCTGTCTTTCGACTGGAGATCACCACATTGCAGCCTGTGAACAGAAAAGCCATATGATATATGTTGTACAGAATGTTAAAAAATATATATATATACAAAAATACATATACATAATTAATAGCTTTCCCAGCGTTGGTCTTGGTGTTGGCCTACGCTTGTTTTTAACTGAAGTTTGTTTTAAAAAAAATTAGTTTAGTTTCCAGAAGATGTGATACAGTTTGATTACGTTGTTGACGTTCTGTTGTTGTTTCTTCTAACTTCGAGTAAAATTGTGAATTTATTTCGTTGTTCCTGAATGTTTGAGTGGTTGTGACATACAGCGGTGCAAAGGTTACACTTCAGAGCGTTGTGCATTTTCAACATTAACAGCAAATACACAAATATATTAGCTCTCACAAACCTGCAACACTTACCGAGCTCCAGCAACTCTTCAGAAATGGCTTTACCGATACCGGTGCCTCCTCCGGTCACTATCGCCACTTTGTGCCTGAAAAGACCCGGTCTGAAAACGCTGGACGCCGCCATATTGTTTTTTTTGTTTTTAAAGCTTGGAGCTCACTGCCACACAACTAGTACAAAACTGTGTTTACTGCCACCTGCTGGAATACCGAAGAAGTAACAAGATAAGTAAGTCTTTCGACCTGATGTATACTAATGTTAATTTATTTTATTTATTTATTTATTATAGTTAATTTATACTAATGTTAATTTATTTTATTTATTTTAGTTAATTTGCATACATTTATGTTACTACTACTATAATGGGTTGAAATATATATTTTCTAACCTCAAAATGAACTCACAAACAGTTTTAATTTTTCTAAAACAATTTATACCTGGTATTAGCAAACTAAGGCCCTTTTTAATCCGGCCCACCATTTTTTTCCAAATTAGTGCACGTGGCCATAGTGTGGCGTTAGAAATCATTGGATGTACCGTGGGAAATTATTTGGTCTGTTGTCTTTGCCTGGGTGAGAGGAAAACGGTTAAATACCCTCGTACTGGGTGGAGGGATATCTCTAAAAAAAAAAAAAAAAAAGTTTCTCAACCATTTTGGTAATATTTAACATTTGAAGAATCCAATAAAATACCAGCAAAATAATGTCACAGTTGTAAAAGTACTGAAATATTCCTTTCCAATTTCAATTTAGTGTAGTCCTGGGCCTGTTTAAATGGAGACAGTGCTAATATTCATGTATTTTTTTGCTTTTTACATGGAGACAGTGCTAATATTCATGTATTTGTTGCTTTTTACTACTATTTGTTAGCCATCTGCTGCCACCTACTGGAAAATTATTTAAGCCATATTATTTGCAGTAAATTCTTCAGACAATTTAAGTGAAATTGGATAATTTTCCACAATACATCTGGAGGTCTCTCACAGCTCAGTCATTGGTAATCACTAGGTGTGTTTGCAAGTTTCTCCCTCTACATTTGTTGGTTCCAGAAACATCAATTTAATCACACGCTCTAATTCAACCATTAAGTAAATGTAGATTTATGGGCAATGTTTGAAAGACAGTTTTTAAGCCTCCATGTGAGGACAGATTACTGGGATTCGTTCCAGCAACCTTCAGCTCAAGATTGGACTGCAGAATAAAAATATAATATCTATTTCCTACTATTAATATGTATGTATATATAAATATATATATATATAAAAATCAACGTGTTGCAGGGATGACATCCTTAGACTATTTTATTCTAAATATACCAGTGCCACCTTAATGTAAAAATTAATCCTGAAGTGTAAAAAAAAATAATTAAACCTTAATCTCTTTCAGCATCTGCACAAGACTACCTTCAATTTATACCAAATCACAGATTGACCCAAGATAAACTTCAGGACGTGTTATCTGTACACAACACATTTGTAAAATGTGTATGTTATAAATTTCCAAATGTGTAGCTGTTGTTCAAACCACAATAAAGCCAAATACAACTACTGGAGTGATGCTGCAAGAAAAAAAAGTATACAATGTATAGTATTGGTGCAGCGGCAGGAAATGTATATTTGAACACCCAAACACTGGTAGCAGAGTAAATACATAGTGCAACATATTTGAGATATCTTAAAAAGCAGACGGACAAAAAGGCATAAAACCGCTTCAGACTGGTTTATTGGTATTTTCCCTCCTCACATAAGCTGTTTAAGTCCAACTCTGCTAACTCATAGAAAACCAAGTCCAATTTCCACCAGTGATGATCTCACAGGTTTACTGGTCTTTTAACTCCTTTAATCTCCTGATTGCTGACTTGACTGTGACAGCAGATGTGGTACTGTTGGAAAAAGAGGGACATAGGATTATTTAGAATTTTTAATGTATTGAAACAGTGATTATACACAATGTGATAGAAAGAATTTTGAAAACTTCACATAAAAAAAAAAAAGCCAGAAAAGGAATCTTACTTGTAGGTCCAGGCACCTCCAGCAACTGTTTTCCTGCAGGACCCACAGTGCCAGATACCAACAGCCCTTCTCTTCATCTTGGTCTGCGAATAATAAATGTTTTTCAAACCATGTAAATTAACACCACTTTCGCAAAATAATCACAAAGGATGACACCTTTAAGGCAAAATAGGCACGTAATATGTGAATCGTATAAGTTGAATTAGTTATCAGATAATGCCAAATATGTGCCAAGCATCTCAAACTGTACACCACAAGACATTAGACAGTCGCATCTTTATACACAATCCATAATAAAAGCTCTTACCTTGCCACAGAAGGAACAGGTGTATTTTGAATGCTGGGAGATTTCAATTTTTTTGACCATCTTCCTCAGCGATGCACCATAACGTGTGCCATATTTACCAACAATCCCCACCTTCTTGGTGCGCTTGGCCTGTAAAGACAAACAGTGTACGTTGATATATATATACAATGCATGGTATTACATGTACGTCAATAAACACTGTTGATTATGTGGATACTTGTTTGAAGATGGGCTTGGGGGCACATTCATTATTCAGATTTGAGGTAAAGACATAAGGAATTATCTTAAATTCAAACCTTTATTGTTTTCTCCACATGGTCCCAAATACCATTTATTTTAAAAGGAAGAGCGATACCATGAATTGACAAGCCAAACGATTGATTCTAGACAGAGCAATGCTAAATTAGCTTCTATGTTCGCTAGCTGTTTGGTTAGTAGAGAACTAATATTGAACATGTCTGGATTGTGTAACATTTAAGTTGTACGTAACATTTTTTTGTACATTCGTTCTGCTGTACAGGTCCGAAAGATTTATTTCACTATTTCAGTGGCCCTCCCGGCACTTGCAGCCAACGAAGGGTAGCAATGGCGGCCGCCCTTTCTGTCTCAACGGGTGAAGAATAAATACGATTTTCTTGTTAAATACACGATTAAGTTACAAAATGAAATCGGGTAAGGTAGAACGAGACGATCCAAAATGATTCGGAAATGTATTCTTGTAATGATTAGCCTTGGAATTAAAAGATTGACGCAGATTACACAGGGGATAAAACATCTCTTACCATCGTTTCAGTAGAGAAGCAGGGCGAAAGAGGGAGTGCTCATTGCGCACGCGCGCTTTACCCACTCAACTCCGATGCATTGTGGGACTTTGAGTCTCCAATAACCTCAGCTAATGATTAGTTACAATATTAAACAAATTTGATTATTTTTTCAGTCATTGGTGTTTAAAATCGACATCGCTTAGGAAATCAGAAGATTTTAGAGAAAATAGTTGCTACGGAGGTGTTGTTGGATACACGCATGCGCGTTTGTGGCAACATCCCTGCTACTGAAGTTGAGATGTTGGTCTTGTTTGTCATAATGCGCTGTTGTTTGTGAATGTAAAATGGCCTACTTTTCTTACACCTACACCTCTCGGTTGTCGACGGACTCGCAATGAAGTTAACACGACAACAAGTTCTCGCCAAGGCTAAGGCCTCTGATTTAGAAAGCGTGAAGAAACTGAACTGCTGGTGAGTTGTTTCGAACGCTAGCACAACACAGTGACGTCTGCTGCACCTGAAACCGATACTGATGAAGGCAAAGTGCATACTTGTATGTCAGTGGTGTAATGTAATCTTTCTATTCTCTTTTTAAGGGGATGCAACCTAACAGATGTGAGTAATTCCAAAGATTCATAATTTGTTTTTCATAGGTTTGATAGACGAATAATGCACAAAATAGAGAGAAAATCACGTCTCAAATATCTCAAATCTTTACTCGTATCTCAAAGCAAAAATATTTGCTCGAAGGCTGGCTCGTATCGGAATACTCGGGGTTCCACTGTACATGTTATCAGGTTCTCAATAGTATTTCAATTCGTGTGGGTGTGTGCTGGAGGTGGGGGGAGGAATGGGGGACCTTTAGGGGCCAAATCTGGTATTCATAACTTGATTTCTAATTCTTTACACTGTTGCGCTTGTGACCATACCCATTTACATGTTCTCCTCTACGTCCTAGATTTCAATCTTCTCTCAGATACCCAACATTAAGGTCCTGACACTGAGGTTGGTCTTTCATCCTAATTACCGCTCGTATGAATGATGCCGCTTATGAATGTATCCAATCAGTGATCGCAGTTGTCCTGCTGTCCTAGTGCCAACAGCATCTCATCTCTGGCTCCTCTGGCCCAATGTCTGTCTCTGTGTGAGCTTTATCTGTGGAGGAACATGATTCCATCCCTCTCTGAGCTCTCACATCTGCAGCCGTTGACACATCTGAAAGTGCTCTGGTTGGCTGAAAATCCCTGTTGCGGAACCGAGTCCAACAAGTATCGGATGACAGTGCTGCGCACCCTGCCTCATCTCCACAGGTTGGACAACCAGGGTGAGAGTTATAATGTCTTCTTCTGTTGCATTTGACATCACGACGGGGAAGGAAAAATTACAGTAGCTGTACCTGTTTTTTATTAAACTTTAAGTTCAAGTACATTTTTTGTAATTTTGAAAACAAAGTGTAATTTTGAAAAAAAATCATTGACCTTTTAATATGGTCATTCACACTATTATTGAAATCCAACCTTGAAATTTTGCATCTATTTGGCCTCTGGCCATAAAAATAAAAAAAAAACTAAAATTAGGCATGGCTATTTTTCTTTGCATAATTTTGCTTTTTTTTAAGGTTATACGTTTTATAGGCACTTTGAGCTAGTCCATTTGAGCAGACTTTTTGACTCGCGCTCAACAACAAAACCTAAAATTGAGTGTTTTGTGAACTACGATAAATGACATGTAAAAGTCATGCATAAAGGCAAAAATGCTAAAGGCAGCATTTTTCTACACCATCTATTGGGGAAATGTTGGTATTGCAGGGGAAAAGTATAATGATAATATAAATAAATGATATAATTTGGAAAAGTTTGGCGGGCCGGATTAAAAACCCAAATGGGCTGCATCTGGCCCCCTGGGCCGTAGTTTTCCCATGCCTGCATTAGCCCATTCTTTATCTGGATATTTTTTTTCATTTATTATTTTTGGACATGATTGGTTTAGCCTTTAAGTTTTTTTTAATTATCTGTCCGGTGTCCATTGTTTTCTTATTCAACGAAGATGTTTGGTGTTATATTTTGAGCAGTGGTGACGAATGAAGAAGTTAACCTTGCCGTGACAGAGGGTGATGTAGTCACCACACCTCCGGGCACTAACCAAACGCAGTTGCCTACGAATGGACTCTCAGAAGCAGAGGCGGGAAACGACCCAGGCAACTATAACATGGAAGAAACAAAGTACGTATCTAACTTCATCAGATACGCAAATCTCCCTCTAACAAACAAGATGACTGTTTCAACAGTGCCAAAATAACACCAAACTTGTAATTGCAGTAAAATTAGAGAAGAGTTAGGAATGAAGCCGCTGTCGAGAGACAAGTTCCCTTCCCTTTCCTCTCCATCGACAAAGGAAAGTAAATCACTAAGAAAGGTAAACGTTTGTCTCCCAAGAATATGGAGCGTTTCAAGTGTATAAAAAGTAATGTTCGCTCATCCGATTGCTTCTTTAACCGGTTCCAGACTCACACCCTTGATGCTGTGTTGCTGCTGCTTGGGGACATGGACAGAGAGGAGCTTCACGTCGTCCTTACGGCCACACAGAACAGGCTCCAGGCTTTCACACTGCACCCAGAGACTCTCAAAGACTCATTGCTAACGCACAAAACTGTGGATGCCCAACACTGAAACGACTTACCCGATTTACTTGGTCCATCGCTGGAGACGCCCACGTATGCCATGGCCTCTGTTCACAACACATCTTTAAACGCAATATTATTGTGCTGAAATAGACAATATCTCTAACTAAAATCCAGAATGACAATAATTTGTCCCTCTTGTTTTGGTTACCTTTATCCTCCCGTTGATGGAACAGGTACAGTAATCCTCGACACTGCAGCAGAGCCCACGAATGTGTATTATTTACGAAAAAGGAAAGTATATTTCTTTAAATAAACGATAAAACACTGCACTCTCATTTTTTTGTAATCATTTTATTAATTTACCTTTTCCATTTTTTTTTTACAGACAAAGTTGTATCTATATCCATAGTTTAAAAACTGTTACCTGGGCACATTTTATAGAGTCCATGTATCTGTGACTTTCTCCATTGCAGGAGAAACCAGTTCGTCCATTTTTGAATGAATGCGTTTACAATCTTGTCACTTGACCTCTTCGTTTTCCAGGAAGTCCGTCAGTGTGCCAGTGTCCACAGCAACAATAAGAAACTCTACTCCATCTGCACCCTGGGGTGGGGGGAGAAAAAAGACAGGAATTACGACTGGTAAACAACTAATGCTACACTGACCAATGGAAGTGGGGAGTCGACATATACCTTGCGTGTTCTGATTAGTTTGTGGTCTCTAAATTCAGTCAACTGAGTTCGCAGCGTTAGGTCAGAGTTGACCAAGAACGCCTCTCGACATCGCTGGTAGAAATCTTGGAATGACATGCCTAAACAGTGAATGAGAAAATGAGTTAAAAAAACACAAAAGTGTCAGCGTAAAAAATTAACCAGAGTTGTGTGTTTTCACACCTGTGTACGAAGGACTGTCTTTGTTTTCCAGTTGAAATTTAACCAGCACTTTGAAGATTCCCCTGCAAAAATGGGTCATAGTCAGGGAAAAAGTCCAGCAAAACAGAAAACATTTTTAATAGAAGTCGCATTAATGGTAAGAAGTATTTATGAATTGGACAACTTCAGTATAACATTATTAAAGGAAGAATAAAAATTCAGAAACACATTACACTCTAAAATGATTGGTCTTGTTTAAAAAGTCACACATTCAATTGTATTTAAAATAAATAAATAAATAAAAAATATTGTATGGCTCTCATGTAAATACAGTTAAAATATGTGACATTTTTGGCTGCATGCTATATAACCTACTGTTTGAATTAGGTAGTGTGGCTTTTATTTTGGGTCACATTTATTTGCTTTTTTTTTTAACGAAAGTCTTGCAACGTACATATCACGGGGACACGCAAACTACAAAAAGCGCGAATCAGGGTGACGCGATATTCCGAAATTATGTTTATTTTATCAAATGTAAATAAAACAATAACTTGTAGCAACAGAACTGACTCATTTATCTCATTAACATATATATATATATATATTATATATATATATATATA